ATATCCTGTGCACAAGTGGGATTTAAGATTCGGCAGCCCTTTTGATGCGTTTCCCAGACAAGGATGTAGGGCGTTAAAGGCGAGCAGAGCAGGAAGCCGCTTTCAGCTACCTATTAGCACGTGACAGCTTTGAAATGTTCAAGATCCTCTGCCCACTATCCACATTACTCAGCTGTCAAAGGAAAAGCCTCAGATTTATGATGTGAAAATTACATTTTAACGAGGTGTCATATGTGTTTAAAGTTCTTATTCATCACCATACTGCCACATCTTTTACCCAAGACACAAATGCACTTAATTAGCATATTATAAGGACAGAGAGTTCACCTTATCTGCATTGTAAAACTGTTTTAGGAAAAAAACCCCACCAAACCAACCACCCTTACTGAATAAAATGGTTGTAATCACATGTCAAGAGAGCATCCCACAATATTTAACAAAATGTGGAGGATAAAAGTTTGACACGCACCCTCTGAGGTTTTTAAAATATCACAGATAGGGATGGAAGCTTCATATCACATTTAAATATTGGACTGGCAGTCCACAGCGTTAATACACAATCTATGGAAGCCACTTAAGCACAATGAGGCTGTATTACCCTATATCATACCACTATCTTCTTTACATATTTGACATATTTATTTATTAACTTAACACAAATATTAAAGAACCCATATTATAATGCCTGTGTCTCCTAGACATAATTTAAAACATCTCCTCGAAAGCAGGAGGTCTGTATTTCCCATGCCACTGGGAACAGTTGCCAAGACAGCCAAGTCCCAGACATGCACAGAGAGATCCTCATCCTGGTTAAAGTCCTTCCCTGGACTTCTTCACCGCTGAGCTATGGGACAGGCTCCGGTTCCTATCCTTGGTCTAAACTCTCAGCCAGCACATCCTGAGCCCCTGTGCAAGAGCTGCTGGCACTAGTGTGGGGCACCACAGGCATTCAAAAGATAAAACTTTATTCTTCTGGTCTTTCTGCTGCCCAAGAACCCCGACCTAGTGCCCAGGCAGGAGTCATGACTGTCAGGGGACGTGCAGAGATGCAAAGCCAGGAGACATGCTTTTGTATGCAGCACGGTGCCAGGAAGCAGGATGGGAGCACTTTACATTTTTGGAGAGGAGGATTTGTTGATATTTTCTTGAATTTGTTTATGCAGACTGTATCACAAGTGGGTGATGATTAAAACATGTAACTCTGGTGAATATTAAGACTGATTAGGTTGCAGAAAATTTTTCATTCTGTTGATACTGCCTTTCATTTCCCTCTCTGCACATGTCTAGCGGGGAATATAAAAACATAACCTGAGCACTTTTCTGGGTTCAACTTCTTGAAGAATGTGATGGAAAACACTGCTAGAGTTGCAGAGCTATTCTCACCATCACTTTAAATTAGCAAACACAAAAGCAGCTACAAAGAAATAACCCAAAAGCTCAGGAGCATTTTTGGAGAAGCATCCTCCAAAAACTCATTTTAAGGCCAAACAGCTCAAAGAAAATATGCTTCAAAGGCTCTTGGTATCTTCAAGTCCACTTCTTGAAGGTAGACAGTAATGACACGTTTCCTGGGATTTGCAGGCTCTGAGGAGTGTTTGCTTTCAAAACCACTTTTGGGATAAAAGAAAACAACCCCAGACAAAAGGAAAAAAAAAAAATGAGCAGGGCGAATCCTTAAAACACAGCTTTTCCCATTTCTGAGAAAAATGAACAATTCCCTTTAATTCAATCAAGAACCCTGAAATGCTTCTAGATCAGTTGAATCCAGCTTTGTGCCTTACTTAAGACTTCAGAATATTTTGTCTTCATTGGTACCTTCAGCTGCTACAGAAGCTGAGCATAGAAACTCCAGGTTTCGACACTCATTTACTCTGAGAAGTAAAAGTCCATTTTTTTAAACAGCAGGTGCGAGAAGCTTTGTGACAGTGAAGATCCCAAGTATGTTCCAAACCTACATGCACAAACAGACCTTTAATTAAAATTCACAGAAAATGTTTAATCACTGTGAAAAGCGAGAGGATGCGATCCCTGCATTTCCTATAAATTAAGCAACTCCCGCCTCCTCCCTGTCTCCCTGGATGGTTTGGGAAAAGACTGAAAATGCTTGATTCTAAGTGAACTGGAGCCCTCAACACCTGTTTTTTATTTTAGATATCCTTGAAATGTACAATACAAAGATTTTAAATATGTTTCAAATATGTTACTGGCTATTTAGGTAGCTAAATATATTACTTTCCTTGTTACGATCAATTTTTGGCTTTAAGAGCTCTTCTCCTAAAATTTTACCCATAATTGTTTTTTAACAAGCAATTTGATCGACCCATCAATTTCATAATCTTTCTTTTATTTTCTAATTAAGCACACATTGTTTACATATTTGCTACTCAAACTGTACCCCTATGGAAAATGGCTTCATTGAACATTGCCTTGCTCTAAACAGAGAAACACTGGTGATTTAGGAAGAGAAAGGGTGAAACACATATCCACAATCCACTCTGTAAAAAACCCCACAACTAAATAACCAAATAAAAATATCCTGGGTCTTCACTGCTTTCCTATTGTGGCATTGGCTCCTGTTCTACTCTTTGGTGGAGGAGCTGGGTTTAAGCCATATATTTAGTAGAATATATAAAGCAATGCAGCATGAAATTTGGTGCTAACCAGAAAATGTGTTGCACTGAACTTGGAAGAGAGACAGTCATGCAGACCTGGTCTCCCAGCTCCTCTCTGAAAAAAAGCCTGGTGTCAAGCAAGCGTTTTCTCACCTATTCAGTTCAAAATCGGTGTTTCTGTTTGGCGTGTAAAATAACGTCCCCACTAATCCGGCTGTGCAGGTAATGAAGCAGTAAACCCCACCCCCTTTGCAAAGGTATTTTTCTTTGCTTTGAAATGCCTTGGCCCATTCAAGCTGTCTCATCGTGAATCTCGCTGTCAGAGCAGTCCTCTCAAAAGTCGTCTAAACCTGTAAATAGTGACGTAATGGGATCCTTATGCATGTCTGCCAAAAAGGAAATCCTGGCAATTTTCAGAGAAGAGGAAAACATGTAAAATTCAGCTTTGTGCCCACATTACAAAGCTATCAAAAATTGCACAAAAGGAATGTCAGAGACGGCTCACTAGATTCCACGACATCAGATTAACGCTCTCGTGTCCACCACCCAAAGCCAAAAAGTGCTTCAGCTTTTCATCTGAGGTACTGGGGGATTTTAAAATCTCATCCAAACATGAGTGAAATTAAAGGGTTTTCAAATCAAATGCTTGCACCTCACAGACATTCAGCCCTCTGCAATGTTTTCACCTGGTCTCCTGTCTCACTGATTTAGACTGGGAAAAATGGGAGAATCATTTCCTTTTTTAAAGAAAAGTATAAAATTTTGGTTTTTTCACTGATTATGGCTTTTTTTTTAAATTAAAGATGCTATTGCTGACAATGGTTACCATGTGAAAAGGTGGCAGCAGAGAGTTCACTGTAATACCTGGAAGTACTTCACCGAAAAGGAGAGAAACTCTGTGAAATCCCTCTGAAAGGGATGAAACTGATTTTCACTCCTCGGGGATAACCAACAGCTCAGAAATTGCTCTGCTTCACTCCACCACTCAGAATGTACGTGCTCATCATTAAGTTGGGAGAATAAGAAGTATTACTTCATTTTTTGCTCATCTGAGATCTTGCAGAGGTCAACATCGTTGAAAATATCCCTGCTTCTCTCTTAACAGTCAATCAGTTCTGTTCATCGCCCTCCTCAAGATTTCCTTCTCCTCTTCCTTACATTTTTGTATAAAAATGAGAAATTCATTGCCATTTTACTACTTTTATTCCATCCCTCCCCAGATTTTCATATCCACAGTTTCTTTCAGCATCTCTCGATCCATTTTTTATATGGATAACATGCTGCACACAGGAAAAGAAAAAGAAAAGCTCAGCAACAGAAACCTCTTGACTGCTTCTTTTGCAATCTGAAGCCCTGAATCCACTCATACACTTCTGAGTTTCTTATTAAAAAAAAAGAATGTTTTGAGAAAGCCATGTTACAAATGAAATAGTTTACTGTCCAGATTCTATTAATTCTGCATTTCCTCTTACTTTTTCAGCCTTTCTGAAGCAGAAAGTCCACCACAGGAACTACCTGATACAACTATGACTATACCACGTACAGCAGTAACCATTTGAAAACGACTGCGCAAATGACATTTGGAAATTCTTGCACTGTTATATGAGTTTCACCACAATCCAGGCTAAGTCATTTTACTAATAAAGTGGCAACTGTGAACATAATACTTGCAAAACAATGAAGAAATCAGGAATATAACCCAACTAAGTAATTTCCAGCATAGTTTCTAACAGCAAAAAAAATTGGAAAAGCTGGGAATCCTCTGGGGGCCAGATGCTCCTCTCTTAGCGAAAGTCATGAAATGCTTTAAAAAACCCCAGCAACTTCAAAAAAAAGAAACCAACAATTTGGAGTCAACTTCGTTGTCAATTCCCCTCCTGACTCTAGACACACACTTGTGGATGCATGCTCATGTATACAATTAGCAGCAGCTTCCCTAAACAGCCCAAACTCCCCCAGCTTAATGGAATGAAGTCATTTAAACTGTCTGGCAGTTTTCCCCTGCTGTTTGCTGCGACAGCATCTTCCATGGTCTGTTTTGCCAAAATTCCTGCAGAAGGGAAGATGATCTGATGTACGGAGGAAAATCCAATTAAGGAGAAAAGAGTGTTATCCCTGTGATGTGAACAAGAGCGTGGACATTTGGAGATTGTTTCAGGTTAGTCACAGGTAGCATGCTCCTTTCTCCATTTCATTTCAAACTAAGAATAAAAAAATATATTCTGCATGTATTAATGTCTCAATAACCATCATAGATCTTGTGGTGGGGCTTAATCTACAGAAACACAGTCAGATCAGTAAGACAGGAGTGTACTTCAATTTTACACCCTATTTATAAGAAAAATAGAAAGCCTGATTCAGATTTTGGCTTGTTATTAAACCCCTTACCTGCTCTGCTGTCCAGCGGACCAAAATCCAAGGAATATTTCACGACATGATAGTTGTTCCATACATAAAGGAGGTTGTCCCGCGGATTATAATCCACAGCAGCAATGTACTGGTAGGAGTTTGGAAAGGGCACATCCACCATGCTATCCTTGCTCTGGTCAGTATTATATATGTAGTCTATTTTATTCCCTGTGGCTTCATTGTCGTCATCTTCATACACAGACTTCACCACATATAAAATCCCACATATCATGAAGGCGTTAGAAGCTGACCTCTTGTCATAGGCAGTATCCCACGTCCCTTCAATCCTTAACGTGTAAGGGTTTAACTGGCTAATGACTATTTTGCCATTATTTTGTTCTGTTGCATAGATTACCCACAACCCGTTCTCATCCACAGCCAGGTCTATATCAGACTTGCCTCCCCAGCGGTAGGGAGAGGTGTCATGGTAATTTGCATTAGCTATGATAGCCTCCCCGCTTTTTATCCTCGTCCGCAAGTCAAACTTGACTATGTTCCTGGTTCGTTCCTTGTTGAAGAACAAAGCCCCATCGTACACCACGAAACCCGTGCCATCCACGCGGTGTGGGAGTTTGTAGGTCGTTGTTGGCCTCCCAGCAATGAAGTCATCTTTGGAGGAGTACTCCGTCAGTGTGTCTGTCCGGTACGGTGTCCAAGGCATGTAGTAGATCTTGTCAGAGGCCTGCAGGGGGTCCTTGCACCAGGCACCAGATTGGTGGTCAGATTCAAACAAGTGTTCACTCTGGTATACTCCTTTCAGCAGTCCAGGGCAAAGAAAAACTGTCAGAGGGGAAAGAATTTGAAACAAAAAAACCCAAAGTTAATGACAGTTCAGGGGTGCTTGGCCCAAACATCTCAACAGCTTCTAGTTCTAGAGCAGAGGACATTCAAGATCAGAGGAAACCCAAGAGCAATGCCTTGTAGCTGGAGACTAGCCTTCCTGCTGGCTGTGTCTCTAGAACAAGATTTGTTCCACTGAACTGAATGTTTTGGGTTTTTTTCCCTGCTTTTTCTATCAGCTGTGGCTCATTTTCTTATTGCTTTTCAAATCTATTTTTACAGGTGTACTTACTTGGACCACTCGCCTTTGTAAACTCTGAAATGAATATGAGCCCCCAAAGGATTTCTGGGTTTATATTTCCAGATTATATTCTGCAGTGAATCAGTACCTACTAGGTGAAGGGGTAAACTCCTGGGGAATTAATCCACATATTTATTTGAACAGCCCACAGAACAGTGGCCTAGAAATGGAAATAAGAGAAAGAAATTCCCATCCTTACAGCCCGAGCAATATTAAATATTTAAAGGGTACCAACAGCAAAGCAGAGGCGAATCCCTTAGCAACTCTGAAGAGCGTTTAAAGCAAAGGGAGTCAGGGGGAACACCCGTCTATTGATCTGTAGTATAATTAGAAGTGAGGCTTTCAAAGCTGCTACAGGACACACAAAACATGCAGTCCACATAATTAAAAACGAATGACATATGGATGCTGGAAGAAAAAGACAAGGAAGGAAGGAAGGAAGAAAGGAAAGAAGGAAGGAAAAGAATAAAGTTCACTGGAGAGGAACCCAAGGTCTAGATTTTAATCAGTTAAAAAATGTCCTGTTAAATATAGTAGTAATTTGAACTTAAAAACATATACCTTCTATTGTTACATGAAAGGAGCACAGAGGAGCAGTTTGACTAACTGGGGTGCTTTGCTGCTCAGACTTCATGGGGGCTGAGAAGGGCCAGGGCATGCCCAGCACCTGGGAGGAGGCTTGGCCAGTACCCAGCTGACCTTGGCATCACAGGAACGCCAACGCCAAGAGGCTGGCCGGAGAGACAAAAGGAGGGATGCTCTGGAGCAGAACTGTCTCGCTTGGCCCTTGTCATCCCTGGCAGCATCCTCCTGACCTGGAGGCACTGCACACACTTCAGGGGGAGAATATTTGTTGGTTATTTGCAATGCTGATCTCCGAGAACATGAGTAGTACAATAACCATGATGAGAGGAGAGGCAGCAGGGAGGTGGGAAGAGGTATCCCACCACATGCTTCGGATAGCATGGGGCTGGCAGATGAGATCCTGTGTTCACGCTCCCTGCCTGGAGCATAACCAATTATTTTCAGAAATGCAGAAATTGCTGATGTCCTCTGGAGAGCAAGACAGGAGGAAAATCTGATTTAGTAACTACTGTTAAAGTATATTGCTCTATTGGAGTCTAAGTAACCACCCAGAGCTGCTGATAAAGGGGTGCTATTTCCAAGAGGCTTTTATGGCAAAATTAGATACACTTATGCACATACGTATGTATGCACACTTTCAAAATTCTTTGGGACATGAGAAGAGTAAGTTATCTAAACCTTTGAATAGAAATTTAACGAAGAAAGTGACACTGGTAAAAACTTTTCAGTAAAAATGAGTTATCTGAAGTTGAGCAGCAGAGATACTAAATAAACTTTAACAAAAAAGTAGTGAGAATTAATGACAAAGTATTTCAACTAAAACGTTAAACTGTTAAATAACTTAGCCTATACATAAGTTATATATATATATATATATAATTTGAAAGGTATTTAATTACCTTTTTGTTCCACTTCTATTGTAGAGAGAGAGGTAAAGAGAGAAAGGAGAAAAGAGAATAGATTAATGGTACTGTATTGGCCAGGTACTTTTCTTTATCTCTTTCATATGAAAAGGAAGCTTTATAAATTTACTTTAGTATGTGAACATTTTTTTAATATATAAAAAGCCTTTGCTCTGATATACACTGGATAATATGCAGACAAGCTGAACAAAATACAGATAAATTTCAACTTTACAAAAATCTTTAAGAAGAAGAAAAAAAAAACCAACCCTTGGGACATACCAAGACCCCTGAACTATTTGAGATACCTTGTCAGCAGCAGCCTTGCACTAGTTTCACAGAGCAAAACAAATACTCATACAGATGACTGATACAGATTTACATATAGAATAAAAACTCCAGATAGAAACTTTATAGAATATACATCTTCATATATTTCACCAAAATCCTGTAAAACAGAAAGCCCTACTTCAAGCAGGAGAATATTCCCTTATGACACAAGTAGAGAACTTAGGAGAGACAAATGAAGTACATCAGTGGATGTTCATAGAGTCCTGTCCTACGTCTCAGAGAAACAAACTTTGGTAATACTTGGAAAAAAACATTTTAAATATGTAATACTTACACGATTTATAAGATCCTACAGACTTATAGTATTAACAAGTTAAAAAAATCTAAGCACTATTTAAAAAGTCCAATCCCAGACCTTTCTGGGTATTTTTATGTGAATTATTCACCACGCATAATAATGCCGCTGCAGAGGTTGCATCCCTTAGGACAAAGCCCCTTGCAGTCAGAATAAATAAATGCCGTGCACTTATTAATTGCTAAACGCTCAGTACCAGTTTCTATAGCTAACAACCTCCTGTGAGAGGCCTTGGGGGCCCTCATGCAAAAGTCCCCTGCGGTCATGGCACAGACCCCTTCTTCCAGTATAGTGGGGCCTCAAACAGCTTCTGCACCCCCAGCACTGGGGTTTGCTGGTTC